GCAAACGGTTTTGATGTTATAATATCCACCTATCAGCAAAAAATTAGTTACCTGCTTTAATTAACTTTTCCAGAGGCGTACAGCATTGGTACGTAATACGGCATCCCTTCTAAATTTTACGTCACTATCCAAAAAGTTATTTAGACATAAAATTTTAAATTTTTTGATGTTTTTCAAATAAATAATGTACTCTTTTTAGAAATTTAATAAAAAAAAATCAAAATTTTGGACAATGGACTAAAATTTAGAAGGGAAAAAGGTGTTACTTGCCCATGAAGTATGCCACTGGCAAAGCTTATTTAACTTATTTTTTTTGCTGATAGGTGTATTTTATTACACCAATAACGTTTGCCGAATTTAGTAAAATTAAACTGAATAACAAAAAAAATTGTAGCTGTTTATAATTTTTGATTTTCGAGTAATGTTTTACCTACGGATGTTTCGTTTAATCGGCTTATTTCTGATCAGTTAATCTTCAGTTGCTTCCATTCTTAATGGAATACCCTGTATATACCGAAAGGTCTTGCAGCCAAAGAATCAAATAAAAAAAAAGAAAAATATAATAAAAAAGTGTTTTTATTACCGTATTTACCCACAATACTTTATATAGATCTGCATCAGTAAAAATTATTTTCAACAAATTTAATCTCATTTATATGTAGTATGTTTGTGTAACTTGGCGGCATACGGAAAACTTTTTTAAGAATTTTAAGAAAAAATCTTATTTTTCATAAATAATTGAATGGTCTATTAATTTTAGAAAAAAAGTTACTTTACATAAAAAGTTATGCATGGTCTAAAACCTAAAATTCAAACATCTGATATCAAATTTTATCAGTCGTATATAGGGTTTGTCGAAAATAAATTTTTTGACAAACCTTGTAAAACCGACTGATAAAATTTGATATCGGGTGGTTGCATTTTCTGTTAGACCATGCATACATTTTTATAAAGAATAACTTTTACATAAAATGAATAATAAAAAAAGTTTTCTATATGCTGTCAACTTACATAGACATACTGTGTGTATGCAACTTATGACATATTGCTGAGATAATGTTTTTTTAAGAAAAGAGAAATTAATTATAAAAATTTACTTCATTTGTAGAGTCGTAATTTATGTTTTCATATTAAGTTTTTATTATAATTTTTTTTTATCAATTTAGAATTACAGTACTATTTTCAATTATTAATAAAAATTACGTGTTCATTTTAGATTAATCAATAAGAAAAATAAGCATTTTTGAAATATTAATAACCAAATACACATTAAACAACAAATAAATAAAAAAGCATTTAAAACACGTTGTCTGCCGAAGCAAATGTTGTGGTCGGGTCTGCTGAGCCGAAGTAGTTTTTCTAAAAATTTAAGTCTGTTTTTACGTTTTAAGTAGTTTAAGTAAATACTTAGGTAAACTACAATATCTAATAGATGCGCGAATAAAATACATACACGCGGCGCGGGATTAAATTATTACAAACATGTGGCGTGCATATATTGTTAATAATATATTCAGGACATACACAGGCCCGCCGAGAGCCAGGCCGGGCCCCAGGACAATTCGCTAGATCGGGCCATGTGACAAAAAAATCTTTAACCAAAAACTGTTCCTCTTCTACTGAAATAGAATTTAAAAGGTCTTTACATCAAAAACTATTCTCCCTTTCAATTACTTCTTCTTCTAAACAAAAAAAAAGTCCTCACCCGAATAAAACTTCTCTAGGCTAAAACTTTTAATTAATTTAAACTTAACTTCCCTCTCTCATCTTGTGTCGAATTTCTCATGCAGAACAAAAAAAAAACTTTGCCGGGCTCCCTTACAGCGCTGCCGGGCCCCCATTTAAGCCCGGGCCCCGGGAATTAGTCCTGGCTACCCCCCCCTCTAGTCAGCCCTGGACATACATTAGTGCGTAATTGTTCAATATTTCAATTTGTGTTATGGACACGTAAATAATTTCTAAATAAAAAGTTATATGAATTTCAAAAATGGGTATTTTAAAGATATTTTTAGACATACAGTGTTTTGCGTTTTTGTCTGACAAATAAAAAGGTATATTTTTTAAATAAAAAACCCTGTATTTTACTTCAGTTTTAGAATGCTGCATGCAATGCTGTAATACTGCATTTAACCCTAGAACTTTATTAACAAATATTGCAGGGTTGCCAATAAATTAATTTTTTTATGAAATTAGAGAATGATGCAGACCCTAAATTAAATTATAATTTAATTTAAAAAAATAGTAATAAGATACTAAGCTAACGAATAGTGGTGATAGAACTGGATTATTTTATACAGAGTGTTTTGAAAAACAAGTCTTAAATATGGCTAATTCCAAGTTAAATTTATTTAATTTTTTCAAATGCCACACGCTGTATGTTATTTAAACATACAATTCCTTATAAATTTACATATCCAACGATAACAATATGATAGTCAATAACACATGAGTTTTATAATAGGAAATACGAAAAAAAAATAATATAAAAGTTGTATGACCATATTTAACAATTATTCATAAATATGCAGTGTGCATTTTTAAAGCAAAACACCCTGCAGGTTGTTATACATATTTGATTGTTTTTACATCGTCGAACAATATTTTCAATTTGATTCATTTGATATGTTGTATATAGAATGTGTCAAAATTTGAGGTTACGATTTTCTCAATTTTTTAAATGTGATACTCTCTATGTTATACCACCAATTAATTAATACAGTGAATTCCATTGAAACAATTAAAAAAATCGTAACCTCGCGCTTTGATACACCCTACATATAACATAGCAAATGAATGAAGTCAATTAAAATTATTTGACAACCTGAAAACAATCAAATATGTATAACTACCTGCAGGGTGTTATTCTCTAACATGTTGAACAGGCAAATTTATAAGGAATTGTATGCTAAAACATGTTGCCTTTGAAAAAATTAAGTAAATTAAACCTCAAAGTAGCCATATATAAGACAAGTTTCAAAACACTCGGTATAAAAGAATCCAGCACTATCAACACTATTTGTTATCTTAATGTGCTACAAGTCTGTATATTAAACAATTTTGAAATTAATGTAATCCTACCCAAATTATGATAATTTAATTTGGGGTCTGCATATCATTCTCTAATTTCATAGAAATTTAATTGCTTGGCAAACCTGTAATAGTTTTTTTAAACATTCTAGGCTTGAATACAGTATTACCAAATCATTCTAAAACTGAAATAAAATACATGTTGTTCTATTTAAAAAATATGCCAGGCAAAAATATAACACCCTGTATATCCAAAAATATTTTTAAAATATGTATTTTCTAAATCCATATAACTTTTCTTTGAAACATGTTTGCGTGTCTTTAACACAATTTAAAATATTGAACAATTACGCACTAATGGGACATACACAAGGGTACATATACACATAGCAGTCAACGTGTTAACTCAGAAATAAAGTTCCTTATAAAGATAAAATAACATTCATTAGAAGAAAGCAAGTCCCGCAAATATTACGTGCGTACCATACAGTGATGCCAGGTCATTCGGATTCAAATTACATCTCAATGCAATAAAGTTCCTCTCCCGCATTTCACATTTCACCCACTTTAAAATTAAATTCGCCTGAGAAAAAATTGTGAAATTATCGTATAAATCGATATTTATTGTACATCTGGCAACGTGGCCAATACTTGTTCATACGCAAGGAACACAAATCGATAATTTTGTATCTGGAACGCAAAGCGAGACAAATATATATGAAAATCACGAAACAATAAAAGACGGCATACAGCTGTATCAGTTTCAAAAATTGGTACCTCTAAACAATCATTTACCTATTAAAACCATCTCTAAAACAGAGTAGCTAGATTTTTTTTACGGTGACATCTTCTTAAAAATAGATGAACTACATGAACTATACACAATTACAGGAATTCATAGAAAATCTCTAATTTGACAAATAAATTTATCAAATATTTGTTAATCGTATTTCCAGTTAGATTTGAAAAATACGCAATAAAATTTAGAAATATTTTGGCGGGATACTTGGAAAAATATGTAGAATGAAATCTCCTACTTTTTAGCCTGTGGTTTTAAAATCACTTTTTATGATTTTTTTTTAAATTCAGTGTATAAACAGGACAAATAAAAAATAGGAGATTTCATTCTCCAAACCTTATACTTTAAGCTGGTAGAAGATTCATTTTAATACATTTAGCGGGATTTAAATGCAATCGGAAATGGTGAACCCTTGCTTCTTATATGAAAAATACAGTGATACTGCGCCCTTAAGAAAATTGTTCAAATAAAAGTTGTTTATGATATTATTCTCTATAATTTTTTTCCTATAAATAATTTCTCTAAAATGGACCGTATTCGAGATATTTGAGAAAAAGTGCACAATCAGATAATTTCGATTCATTTGGTACTTTATCTTGCAACGAAATTTAAAAAAAAAATTAGAATCAATATTACATTTTTCACCTGCTTACTGACCTAATAATAAAATGTAATAGATCCATAAATAGTGGGCGATTTTAAATCTACCAAGTGTCCCACACCTACATTTCACTTTGAAACATCCTGTATACAGTACAATGTATTTTCAACGTTAAGTTATTTATTTTAACATCTCTTCTTAAGGGACACAGGAGGGTATAATATCCGCTGTTGTCATATGTCTATTTCATTATTCTCGTTTTGTTTACATTATTAACATATATTATTGCTACTGAACCCAAAAAATTTGAATCATTGGTTATATCAAATTTAACTAAATTAAATGTAATAATTTTTAATAAATTCCAAAAGATAGTCATGTTAGGTTGGAAGTGGCAACAGGGCTTACACCGGCATAGATATTTACGTTGTTTATCATAAGCGCACAGTCCCTTACACATTTATTCATTGTATTGATTGTCGAAGTAATCTTGGCATCATGAATATTATATTTTATCAATAAATGGTTATATCTCTGGTATTACCCCTGATAAAAAACAAAAATATCACTTACCAGCACTCGATTTATGAGCCAAAGCTTGTCTTTGTGCGCTCAGCAATCCTTGTACGGCGGTCGCGAAAGCACTGGGTTCTTGTAACATCAAATTGCAATCTAAATGAAAGGCCGTAGGTAAATGACCGGCATTATAATGTTCTATAGGCCTACAATCCACTAAAAAAAATCGAACTGCATCCACGCTAGACGCCTCATGACTGGTATTCTCCACCAACTCATGAACAGTTACCGGTAGACATAAAGCTTGCGATACCACCGAAGAATAGAGCAGAGAACCACTGTAGACGTTCTGCATTAGATCGTTTCGGAATGATACCGGAGTTTTAAGAGCGTAGTATTGTGCTAAGGTACAGAAATCTGATACGTCATCCGCTTCTAACCCACAAGGCATGTTCGTTAATGTAGCAACGATTGTTTCTCTACTTTCATCTTTCATAGAGATAATTTGATCTCTAGCGTTAACCACTACGATCAGAGATAGAAAAAATATAAAAAAAGGATCGGATTGTTGAAAGTAGTAATCCCACATGCATATAACGACTTCTAAGTTACAAGTGGCTGCAAACAGAGATTGAAACCACGTCAAGCAATACTGCTCGGCTGTAATACGTTTGGTATCTAAGAACGAACATAATTCAGGATCGTGATACAACAAAAGCAACCTAAGAATATGGAAAGCGTTTCCATCGGTATGGCAGCTCTGTGGCACGTAAGTATCTCTTATTGCTTCAAATAGATTATAAGTCGTAGACCTAGGGGTTTTCAATGTCAAAATCGGAGCTAGCAGTTCCAGCCAGCCGTTATGTCTGGTATAAGTTACGTTTCTACTTTTACAGTAGAATGTTATTATCGATTCCAAGTCTGAAATGACCGACAGTCGGTCTTCTTCTTCGTTTCCTAATTTCGAAACGAAATTCGTGCAATCTTCTCTAAGTACTGTTTGATTTGGTAAATCGAATACTTCGTTGAAGTGGTCGAGTTGGTTGCCCTTGTCTCTCACGTCCAGGCATATCTGAAAATTAAAATTGTAAAGTTGTCGTTCGGCCGTGCAAATCTGACGTATATTTATTTATTTAAACATATTTTATTCTTTGATTTGCAGGTTTACTGCGAGTTTTATGATGGTAGACACGAAAAAAAAAACGCAAACAATACAGTTTGGACTACTTGAAGTTTGGATTTATTTCATCTCTATCAAATTAACACTTACTGATGTGTCTCAATTGTGAAAAAGTATTCAGTAACGATGCTATGAAGCCTTCAAAAATGGAAGACCACTTATCAAGAGTACATGCTGATAAAAAAGTAAGCCCTTGTCATTATTTCAAGCACTTAAAGAAAAACAAGAGAAAAATAATTACCTACTTAAAGCTGTTCTCTCAGGAATTATTAAACAAATTTGCGTGGTCTTGCGAAAAAAAAAAATACAGTTCAAAAAACAAAATAGTAAGTCCAGGACTAAAAAAAAATTTGATAAGATTTAGAAGTTACGAGTGGGAATTAAATCAGCTGTAAATTACCACAGAAAAAATACCAGTTGACAACGTGAAGCAATTAACTGCAGACTCTACTCTACTTACCACACATTTGGAAATCATTCAAACTGTGCACAATATTTTTGTAAAAGAAAACAAAACGACAGAGATTATGTGACAGAAATGGATGACATTGTATCTGCTGATAATAGGATGGTTCAAAACAGCCACAGTTTATTATTAAACATGATTAATAATGCTGCCAAATTTGTTGGAGGAAAGAGAATTAATTTTGCAGTAAAAGAAGGATATAATGTTCGGAGTACAGCTGCATACATTTCTTAATAAAAAAGAAAATTATATTCCCACTCTTTATAAAAAGTTGTCAAAAAGTGTTCCTGGGATTCAAACACAAAGATTGGTTATTCAAATGAGCAAACGTAGATGTAGTAGAAAAGCTAGGGGCCCTCAATTAAAAAAACGCAAAAGTGACTACGGACTTCAATGCGATGATGATGATGACGATGTTTTTGAACAAAAAAAATTGAAATTTTTGGATAGTTTACCAAAATCAACAGATGATATTTGTGCAATTGAAGTATCTACTAGAGATCAGGCCAGTCATGTGTGTGTGTTATTGGATTTTATGACTGCAGATATAATCCATTAGCCTATTATGCATTTCTGTTTTAGGGGCGTCCATTAATTACGTGAGGTGTTCAAGGGGGGGAGGGGATCAAGCTAAATCTTTCTAAATCTCACTTGGGGGTCTTTGTAAATCTGACGTATTTTTTTTTCTAGTAGAAAACGGTGTAAAATTGCGTGAAAATGAAATTAAAGTAAAGAATATTTCTAGAAATTTTTAGTCTTAAATAAAAGTAATAAAACATATTGTGTTTGTTTTTTTAATAATCCAACGCATTTACACCCAAAACACAAATTTTGAAAAATCTCACGAGAGATTAGGGGAGGGGGAGTTGAGGAAAATCTTACGAAATCTCACCAGGGGGGGAGTGGGGGTCAAAAAATCCTCAAAAATACCTCACGTAATTAATGGACGCCCCCTTATTGATACTAAGTTAAAATGAGAGAATCATATGAAGTATTTTACAATTGTTTTTTCTAATATTATTAATATAAAAATTTTCTTAATATTTTGGTGTTTTTTGTTTCTGTTGGTTTTTTTTTATTATTTTTTCTGTTTTGTTGTTTTTTTATTTGTATTAGGAAATAACTTGAACATCTTACACTTAGGGGTCAATCAAAGCGATTGGGCCAGTCATGATCTGTGGAATATGCTCACAGCTTCAAATTTTGGAATCGTTTGCAAATTACGCAAAAATGACTGTTAATAATATATTTTTTTCATCTTTTTACCGATCAGTCGCTACAAAATGGAGACAAGATCATGAATCTATTGCGATAGAAGAATTTAAAAATAAATATGGAAAAACGGTACAAGAATGTGAATTATTTATTTATGAAAAACATCCATACTTGGGAATAAAGTCCAGACGGCATTATTAATAATAATAATGAAATAATTGTATTTAAATGTCCATATTCTTGTTCCAAATTGACACCAGAAATGGGAAATCAAAAAAAAAAATTAAATATCTAGCCAATACAGATGGCCAAATTAAATTTCATTTTTAATATACTCTTTTACTTTTAAGTTAAACTATATAAAAAATATATTAAAAAATTGTCCTAAGTCCTTGTAATTATATATTAAATTCTGATAATAAGGCAAAGACTTTGTGGAATATTATTACAAAGAAATTGGTCGAAATAAAACAAATACAAAGTCAGAAAATTTCACTCCTGAAGATTTTAATAATTTTCTTATTAATAATGCGGAAAACATAATTCAGAATCTAGAGAAACCAGATATACCTGCTACCTTCCTTTATAAATATACCACTATTAAAAAATTCAATGTTTTTTCAGCCAGTTACCCAAACCGATATAGAATCAATCGTAAAAGTTAAAAAATAAAAGAACAGAGGATATTGATGGATTTAATGTATTTACATGATGAGTGTACAGAAAACAAAAAGAAATTGTCTTTTATTATTGATATTTTTGGTAGAAAAAGAAGAAATTTTAAATATGCGTTTTCCTAAAGTCTTTGTTTGTGTTCGTCGACGTGTTTGAGTGAGTTTTTTATGTTTTCGTGTTTCTATAAAAAAAATTTTTATTGTGGATGGCTGTATCTTCTTGTTTCTATTTTTTTTTTATATCAAACCTTCTTTATTTTCTAACACATAAACATTTTTATTTATTTTTTTAAATTTGCCCCTCCCTATAAAATTGTATAACGACGCCCATGGGTCTGTCCTCTATTTAAAAAAGGAGACCCTTCTCAACCTTGCAACTTCAGACAAATTGCTGTACTTCCCATATTCTCCAAAATCTTGGAAAAAATTATGTATAATAATCTAAGATCATATTTAAATTCTTTCAACATACTCACGCCATTCCAGTATGGTTTTAGAAGGGGGGCGATCTACAATAGATACAGTATTATCTCTAGTACAATACATAGAAAATTGTTTTGAAAAAGCTGAAAACTGTTTAGGTGTATTTACAGATCTAAGCTTTGCTTTTGACTGTGTGGATCATTCAATTCTATTATCAAAACTGGAGAGGTATGGAGTATGAGGGATTTGTTTACAGCTTTTTGAATCTTATTTAACTGACAGATGTCAAACAGTCGGGTTGCCAGATGTCCGATTTTCCACCGGACAGTCCGGTTTTTCTGTTGCATGCCGGGTTGAAAAAAAACTTGGTAAACCGGACAACAGAAAGTCCGGTTTTTTGTTGAATTCATAAAAATTAATTTGTGGTTAATTTCTTCCTGGAAACAGGAACCCCCACCTGAAAACATGTATGAAGAACTGGCTCCACTTGAAGGAAAAACAGTGGTGTACATTTCTCAGGAATTAGGCAGTACCAAATTTGCTCAAAATAGTTCAATACGTTTGCAGCATTCCTATATCCAATGCCTTTTTTGAATGGATATTTAGCGTTATGAGAAATATTTGGACAGACGAAAGAAATCGTCTATCTCTAGAAAGTGTGAAAAGCAAAATTTGCGTTTTCTTTAACATCAATAGCAGTTGCACTGAATTCAAAGATACCATATCAGGCAACAGCTTGTTAAAAGCAGCGGCATCTAATGCCAAATATGTTAAAAAGTAGTTCAACTTTGTTTTTTTTTTGTTTGATTTGCACTTTTTTGATTTTTGTGTTCTGGATCTATTATATTTTTTAATAAAATATATAATTTTTTGAAGTTGTTTTTTTGGCATGCGGTTGTCCGGATGTCCGGTTTTTTTTTTTGTAGCACATCTGGCAACCCTATCAAACAGTCATCATTGAAAATTGCAAAAGTTCATTGATGCATATCAGGAGAGGCTAAATTTTAGTTCCATTACTCTTTTTGATATACATTAATGATCTTCCTGACCATATGTATTTTGAAAACCTTATCACATGTATTTTTGCTGATGATACTTCTTTTTGTATTAATACTAAAAGAGGAACAGATCATGATCAAGTTTACTGTGATGTCATGACACAAAATCTCCCAATTATTTACAGTAAATTGTGAACAAGTTAATAACAATTTGGTTAAAATACTTGGCATTAAAATTGATCCACATCTCAGATGGACAGATCATATTGAAGCACTTTGTTCCACATTATCATGAGCAGTTTTTGCTATTAGGAAAATACGCCAAATATGTGGTCAAGATGTAACAATTACTGCTTACTATGCTCTATTTCATAGTCATTTGACATATGGGACAATATGTTGGGGCAATGCTGCTTACACACATATCTCAAGAGTCTTTATTTTGTAAAAATCAGCCATAAGAGCTATAACAAGTGCTTCTTGGCAAGCCAGTTGTAGACCAGTATTCCCAGAACTTAAAATTATGACACTCTATGCAGTAATAATCTATCAAAACCTTCTATTCGTAAGAAATAATATTAATACATTTTTTCCCACTCAAATATCCATAACTATAATACAAGGCACAAAGATAACTTAGCCCTATCCAGTGTAGACTGGAAAGGACAAAGAAATATTATATTGAGCTATACAATATACTACTACTTAATTTTAGAAATCAGCCTATAGATAAATTTAAACATGCATTAAAACAAATGTTATCCAATAATTACCTATATAGCTTAGAGGAATTTAAATCAATACAGATGGAGGATAGAGGCTATCACTGTGGCCTCTGAGTGATTCAGTGAACTATGTTGTAAATGTTTGTAAATTTCAATTTTATATTTTTATATTTAGGTAAATTTTATTATATACTTATATATTTAGTTTTAATTGTAATTTGATGAGCCATAAAATGTAATATTTTCTCAGGTAAATAAAGATATTGTATTATTCATGTCATGTACTTCATGAACATTCTCTGAATAGATTAAATTTGGTCAATGTAAATATTGCATCCAGGTGACCAAACAATTCAACAATACTCCAGACCTGATCTTACATAAGTACTGAATATGGTTATTAAACATTTAATGTTAAATAAAATCTTTACAGTTATGAAAAATTTAATTTATATGGTTATCCAAACAGTTAAATAAATGATATTCTTGCTTGCTCGATTCCAAAGTGTTAATTATATATTCATAAATGATTTTCCCATTGTGAATTCCTGTTGAATACAAATACCTATTAATTAAAGACATGTTAAAATATTTATCAGAAAATTACCCGTTTTAAATTATTAATATTGTTGAGCCTTGACTGTCTTACTTATCTTTAATTATTTAGGCTTACTCTATTTACTTTATGATATATCTTAATCATATACATGTATCATTTTCAAGTAAAAGATTCTTACCTGCCAAACATCAGATCTCCATTTTTCTGGCAAGGCTTTTCCTTTACAAATACAGTAAATGTCGGTAGCCGAACATTCTTCTTGCAGGGCATTTTCTAAATCGCCAATCCTGAAATATTCATTACGTTATTTGGGACAAGAAACATATTTTTAAAGGATCGTCCTAAATAACTAATAAATTACGTAACGAGTTATTATTAAAAAGATATACTAATTTTGTAACATACCAATGATTGTCCTCGATAGGACTAGCCATTTTAACATTATTTTCAATATTTAATTTTTGATTAATTTACTTTCCAAAAACAAACGTGTCAAATCTGACAAAAAACAGATGAGATGATGACGGAACAACTGACATTTGACAGTTATTCCGATCTGTCTCTATCCAACACTAATAATGAAGAAAGATGCACAATCAAAGGAAAGCGGATCTTTCAAATATCTATGACCTTCTATAACTAGACTAAAGATGTACAGTATTTTTTGACAGTGTCGTACTGTATCAAACATTTTTGTTTGAAATAACTATTGGGCATTCCAAACTGAATGCCTACCAGTGGGCTTTGACGGGTTATGATATTGCAAAATTATGGCAACCCTGTAGACCTGGTGATTTGACAAGGTCAATGAAATAGTTAGTTACATAGATTGATTATCCATATTTTTTTAAAATAAACATAAGCGTATGCCTTGAAGTAAAAATGTAAGCAATTATTTTTTTTTAAATATCTAAAGGCTAAAAATTGGTTTTAAAACACATTTTTGCTAAACCGATTCAAATTAATAAATATTTGTCAGGCAATATGGCCGCTCGTAAACGACCAGCTTTGAGCAATCTATATAACTATATATGTATCATTGACCCTGTTAATGACAACATGACAACAGGGTTGCCATATCTAAACTGTCATTACCCACTGGTAGCCATTTGGACAGGTCGTTGGAATGCCTAATTGTTATAGTGTACAGAAAATGTATGTTTAATTCATACTCTTAACATTTACATTTTGTACAACCTATTGGTTGTACAAAATAACCTGTAATCTCACTGAAAAAAAGTGTAAATTAAGCTACTGGGTTTCACATTCTAGAATTCAACGTTTTTCTGTCTATAGGTTCTTTCGTTCGCTATTGGTGTAGTGTCCACCAGTGTAAATTACACCAGTTATACCACCTTATTTACCCTAATTTACTTCCTCCTTATTCCTTATACACATCGTCGAGTGTAATTCACTCCTGCTAAATAGCTGGTGGAGAAAATATGCACCAGTGTACACTACATCGCCGACAGGAAGGTATAGTGGGTTTTACACCGGGCCAAACGAAAGGTATGGTTGTGGGTTGGTGTAATTCATTACTACACCAGTGGGACGAACGAAAGAACCTTATAAGTCTTTATATTCCATTAACTCTTCTCATCCTGCTTAACTCAACCTTCTTATACGCGTGTAAATAGCTATTCGAATGTTCGAGAGCGGTCCAGCAAGAATTAAAATCTGTAATAACTTTTTTGCGGCCTTCTATCCATCGCCAGTGGCGTCACATAGCCTATGTACGTGCTTTAATTTCATCGTTGGTGTAGGAATGACCCGTTTATTGTATATATTTTCGTTTTTTAGGCACATTTCTATATTTTTTGGACATATTCTACATATTTTCCAAGAACTGTATTTAGCAGTGTGGTAAATTTGTAATAATGAAAGTATATCAATAAAAAAAAATCAGCAGAATTTGTAGTAGATTTATTGGCCTTAGGTATAATCAGTATTGAAACAATAATTTCAAAAATTTATAAAATGCAATGGGCTATTTATATTAAAACATATCGTGCACAAATATTATTAAAGAACAATAATTAACAATTGTTTTCATCATGACACAATTAACTTAATTTAAATAATATTATATAGATGTTATTTTTTTGGAAAAGCCAAAATCTTAATAAATGAATTAGAAATGGAGCCCGAAAAGTTTTCTAGAACAGTGGCGTCAAACAAAATCACCGAAAGTGACGTTCGGGGTCTAATACTGAAAAGAATATACAGTCATACTGACTAGAGGGGGGGGGGGGGGCTCCTCGGGAAATTCGTATACACGAAAAATAAGGCATTTCAAATACAAAGATCCTGCCCCCCCTGAACTATTTCTTAACTACGCCCATGTATACATATTGCGTCTATATGGGAAAAAATTAATTCTAGATAAAAGTTGGTGGATGACTTATAAATAAATATTAAATTAGGTAAGAAATATTGACATTTTTGTACCGTATACGAGGGAGGTTAAAAAATATCAATATTTTGAAATAAGAGAAAAAAATATTACTTGAAAAATTTGACAAAATGTGCAAAAAACAAAATTTTAAATTTAACCTTTAAATCATCCTGCAGTGAACTAAATTTTGGGCATAGTCAAAACATCTGGGGGGTACTTTATAAAGGGTCGATTATCTATTTTATAGAATATATCTGTTATTTCCGCTTAGAGAAGAAAATTTTTTAAATAAAAGTTGCTTATAATGTTATTCTCTATAATTTTTGTCTAATACATAATTTTCCTAAAATGGTCCGTATTCGAGAAATTTGACAAAAAGTTGAAAATTCGAATTTTGAAGAAAATTGTTCGAATAAAAGTTGTTTGTTATGTCATTTTCTATAATTTTTGTTACATAAATAATTCATTTAAAATGAACCGTATTCGAGATATTTGAGAAAAGTTAAAATTTCTAATTTTGAAGATAACTCGAAAACGTATAAAGAGAAAAACACCAAATTTTAAATTCAACCTTTAAGCCATCCTGCGGTGAACTTATTAAATTTTGGGCATAGTCGGAACATCTGGGGGGTACTTTATAAAGGGTCAATTATCTATTTTATAGAATATATCTGTTATTTAAGCTTGAAGAAAAAAATTGTTCAAATAAAAGTTGCTTGCAATGTCATTCTCTATAATTTTTGTTATATACATAATTTCTCTAAAATGGACCGTATTCGAGATATTTGAGAAAAAGTGCAACTTCCGAATTTTGAAGATTACTCAAAAACGGAAAAAGAGGAACACAAAATTTTAAATTTATGCTTTATTCCATCCTGCGGTAAACTTATTAAATTTTGGGCATAGTCGCAATATCTGGGGGGGGGGGGGGTACTTTATAAAGCGTTGTTTTTCTATTTTATAGAATATATCCGTTATTTACGCTCTGAGAAAAAAATTGTTCAAATAAAAGTTGTTTGCGGTATCATTCTCTATCATTTTTATCATATACATGATTTCCCTAAAATGGACCGTAACGGAGAAATTTTGAAAAAAGTGCAAAATACTATTTTTTTCAATTTTTTCGTTAGCAATGAAGGTATAAAAAAATGTTTCAAATAAAATATGTGTAAAATTGTTTTATCTACAAATCATGTTTTAAACACTTTTTGATCAGATGGACCGTACTCAATATATTTGATAAATTTACAAAAAATTCATCAGATATTTCAGTTTTAAGGAGTACTAACTTGGCATCACTGTTCTAGCGGCATTCCTTAATTAATCTTCTACAGGATATAAATACAATAGTACATTTAGAAAAAATATTAAAATAACAAGGGATGTGTCGTAAATAAATTATGGTATACTTATTAGCAGCAAAAAGAGAAAGTTTTGACAATAAAAATGATTTTAAAAAGGTGTAAATACTAATTGAATGACTAGAAATGATAGCAATAAATATTAAAAGCATTACTGACAATAATTTCTTAAAAAAACAATCATAATATGCATTTTAATCGATAACAAACTGAATTCGCATAACGAAAACTGAAAAAAAAAAATCGGCTCATTTAACATATAAAACAATAGAAATAAACAGTCCTTTACAAAAAACACTAAAGTACATTTTAAGATGCATCTTAACATTTTTTTTGCTACCTACAATGATACAATACAAAAAACTGTGCAACTTTTCGCCGTTTTGCAAGAACAACGACGCAATTCAAAATAGTCGATTTTATCGTATAACGTTTCTAAATTTATGCATAAATGTTTTGCACATTTCAAAATGTAGATAATACATAAAAAATTATTAAAAAAATAGAAATAATTATTCAGAGATCGGTCAGTATTCTCGTGATTAAGAGTTATAAAAAACAACTTAAGTCATTGTTGTCTAAATTTAAAATAATTGGGTCTCACTAAATAATAATTATAAAACAAAAAACGAAGCAACTTATGTCTTTGAGATACGTCATTATTCTAGAAAAAAATAGTACGAATTATCGTGGTATACAGCTAAAAAGTTTGTATTTTTGTAAATCGAGCTTTAATATCGCCAGTGTAACTGAAATGAGCCCATATTTTACACATTGTCACAAATGAATAATGCCGTTGTCAAAATTCTCGATATTACGTCATTTTCATGACGAAATCTAAGTAATCTCTATTCGTTCGATATACTTAGTTCAAAATTTTGATTTGCGTCGTTGTTCTTGTAAACCAACGATTTTGTCGTATTCCTCCTTAAATAACCGTTAATAAAAAAATAAATAACTAAAACGCATGGCAGTATTTGGCAATAGAGGCGTAAAAGGCGTCGTATATTTCAATTAGCCATTGTTATACAGTGTGTTTACTTAAGCCGGAATCATATGGGGAACTTGTTTATTAGTTTTTTAAAAAAAAAGTTATTATTCATTAAAAGTTCTACATTCTACTCAATTTTTTTAAGTCATGTACGAGGGTTGTCGAGAAATATTTATTTATTAATATCGAAGATTGTTATTAAGTTAATCATAATTGTGCAAAACATTCGAAATAAAAATGGCGACTATCCTCTCAAATGTCACTGTATTTAGTAACTTTTTGACCTTGTTTTTATCTAATATACCATTCAGTTTTCTATCATAAGATCTTTTATAATAACGGGCATAAAAGAATTGAAAAAAATCATAAAGAAATGTCGAAACATGCATGCTGGTTGCCATTATATAATTTTGTTGTATTTGTAAGTTAAAACGACTAAATTTGTTACTCTGGCGTGGTAGATTTTCTTAGCTAACTCCCGTGGCGTTTAACGTGTTAATAATTTATGTTCGTACATTAATATTTAATCTAGAATACTTTAAAAACAAATTAAAGAAAGTAAACGTCAAAACAATAGTTAGGAATTATAAAATACAAGAAATGAAAAAATACTTTTCAATTTTGATCAACTTTTCTTGCATAAAATTTATATTTTTCGACAAACCTCGTATACGACTGAAAAAATTTGGTACCTGGATTATATTTTCGGTTTTACCAATATAGAAACTTTTATGAAGAATAACTTTTTTTCATAAAAGAAATAATATAAAATATTTCTATATAGTGCGACTTAAGTATAACAGATCAACGAAAATGTTGTTTACGATAGTATGGGTGAATGGTAAAGAAAACTTGGTGAATAGATTCTATTAAATTGCACGAATTTGATTTAAAATCACGTGGGATACATTTACAGTAAGTATGTTTTAAAATTATTGTTTTTTTTTTATACAATTAGTGAAAAATGTTTATATATACAGCCAAACGATCATTCTTATAGTCCATTTCACAAATTCTGGCGTGCACCTTTCAGAATTTGATATTTCTCGCATATCAACAAAGGGATTACCTGGCAATACAATAATTAAATGTAATTAAATCAGAAAACTTTTTTATTATCAGTTTAATAAAAAAAAAGTATTCTTTATAAAAAGTTCTGCATAGTTTGAAACCTAAAATTCAATTATCAGATATTTAATTTTTTGAGTTGTATACGAGGTGCTTTAAAAAATATAAAATTTGCTCAAGACTCAAGTACCTTTATTTTTGACAAACCTCGTATACGACTGATAAAATTTGATATCTGATGGTTGTATTTTAGGTTGTAGAGCATGCACAATTTTTTAGGAAAAAAATGATTTTGGAAAAGTGGGATAATCTTGAGAAATTTGATTTTTTTTTTTTGAAAGGGGTAATTATAAAATGGAGTAATCATTCCAAAAAAAAGGAACTAAAAAACATAAAATGGGACAGCATTGGCAAAAATTAAGTAATTTAGTGTGATAACTAAAAAAAGAGGCAATTTTTTAAAAATGTGGTATTTATTTAAAATAATCGGGATCATTTAAAAAAAAATGGAATTATTAAAAAAAATATGGAATTGTTCAAAAAAAAATGTAATTGTTCTAAAAAATAGGGCAATTTTTAAAAATATATATATACAACTTACGTAGACAGTTGGTGGCATAAGAAAAACTGTTTTACTATTAATATTAGTATTTTTTATTAATTTTTATTAGTTTTATTGATTTTCATTTATTTTTATTTATTTTTTTTATATTTATTCATTTTTATTTATTTTTATTTATTTTTATTTATTTTTATTTATTTTTATTTATTTTTATTTATTTTTATTTATTTTTATTTATTTTTATTTATTTTTATTTATTTTTATTTATTTTTATTTATTTTTATTTATTTTTAATAATTTTTATTAATTTTTAGTTTTTATTACTTTTTATTAATTTTTAGTTTTTATTACTTTTTATTAATTTTTAATAATTTTTAATAATTTTTAATAATTTTTAATAATTTTTAATAATTTTTAATAATTTTTAATAATTTTTAATAATTTTTAATAATTTTTAATAATTTTTAATAATTTTTAATAATTTTTAATAATTTTTAATAATTTTTAATAATTTTTAATAATTTTTATTAATTTTTATTAATTTTTATTAATTTAATTTTTATTAATTTTTATTAATTTTTATTAATTTTTATTACTTTTTATTAATTAATATTAATTTTTATTAAGTTTTATTAATTTTTATTAATTTTTGTTAATTTTTATTAGTTTTTATTAATTTTTTTTAATTTTTAATAATTATATTTTAATTTTAGTTTATTTTTATGACTACCATACAAAAATCTAACCACAGAGCACGTCATTATTTATTTATGCTACAATTATAATTTTCAAGTTCCAACGTTCAAAAAATGTATACTTCTATAAAATTTTACCCCCGTTTTCCCTCCTTAAAATGTGAAAATCCAAAAACCATGAAACACATCATTTTTGATTTTTAATCAGTAGCTGTAATTTAAACTTTTATGTTTCAAACTTTAAATAACAAAAAAATATATACATACTATTAAACAAATTTTCACCCCCCATTTCTCCCCTTAAAATGTTAAAATGCAAAAATCCAGAAACACTTCATTATTTATTTATGATGAGAACCTACAATTCCAATTTTCAAGTTCCTACCTTTAAAAAAATCGATATCTCCAAATAAACTTTCACCCCCATTTGCCCCCCTTAAAATGTGAAAATCCAAAAACCCTAAAACACGTCATTATTAATTTGTATTCATTAGCTGCAATTCCAATTTTCATGTTTCTAACTTCAAAGAGAACAAAAAAAAATCAATAGTCCCATACAAACTTTCACCCCCCGTTTCCCCCCCCTTAAAATGTAAAAATCGAAAAAACCTAAAACACGTCATTATTTATTTATGCTTAGTAGCTGTAATTTAAATTTTCATGTTTCTAACTTTAAAGAACAAAGAGTTTCATTAAAAGCTCCTTCCCCCCATTTCCTCCAATTTCCCCCCTTTAAAGTTAAAATTTTCAAAAATCCTTTCTTAGCGGATGCTTACGTTATAAAATAAACCTATGTTCTAAATTTCAGCTTTCTAGGCTCAGTAGTTTTGGCTGTAGGTTGATAGGTCAGTCAGTCAGTCAGTCAGACAGTCAGGACAAACAATTTTATATATATATAGATAAAAAAATCGCCAAAAACCAAATTTCTCGAGTCCAAACTCACTTAAATTTGTTTTCTTCCATAAAAAGACAATTTCGATAATTATATAATTTTATGTTGATGGAAACTTGTAAATCTAGCGCCGCTACTGGTCATGATGTACACGCCATAATCGGTGAAATAGCTTATAGCACGATCAAAAATGTTTGAATAAAAAGGGTAGTTGCCAATATCAAACGGTTATTTTAATGTTACACATTGTTACTACAAACTTAACCAGATTTGCATAAATATATAAATTTTTTTAGTTAACACTTTTTGAGTGGTTTCGGTGTCTCTTTTTTACAATATAACTTAAAAAAAAACCTCCCTTTATTTCTAAATATATCTGTTGGACCCTTTTTATTCGAAACCTTCAAAAAAGTATACTTTTATTTGGCAAAGTTCATTAATCACGCTTCAGACATATTTTCTTTCTAAAAATCCGACGAAAATGGAGGAAACTTTCCAAATCGTCTTCGCTACAGTACGTAAAGAATCGAACAAACAAATTCGACATAAAAACCTAAACCTATTTGTATCATAAATCTAAATTTTTCAGATTCGATGTCGACAGAGTGGTCACCCCGCCCGCGCCTTCGGTATCTAAAATTCCTATCGGTTTGATCGCTTTCCGTTTTTCCCTCAATTTGCTCAATTCTATTTTTAATTTATTCAAAATGGCGTGATTCGGTTGATTTACGGCCGCTTTACTTTGCAACGAAGTGATTTCCTGTTCCTCCATTTTCTTTTCCTTGAAACTCTTGACCGATCTGTTGCCGTATAGTCGCAAGAGCGAACCCCAGGAGGTGATGCTCGGGTGTAGCGCTTGCAGAATGGCTTGGGAGGCGCGTTGCTTGCCGTCTCGCTTGTTTTTGCAAGCCACCGTTGCCGTGTGCTTACCTAAAATAAGATTATAGAAAAAAGTGTTAAAAATACAAAACTTTTTTAATGTCCAAACAAAAAAGTAAGTACCTAAAGCGTATTTGTACTTGCTGTATTTTAATATAAAAAACACATCTCTAAGATAGTAAGACAATGACTGAAATTCATTAACTTATTAATCGAAAGTATTTAAAGTGTGTAGGTAGAGATTTATTAATAAAACTCAGTAATATTAGTCTTAGCGCTTTCAGCCTGTTAGGCCATCATCAGAGACTTTGTCAATAAATGTAGAAGGAGCATGAAAATTAATTATTAAGCGCTAAGACTAATAGACCTTTTCATCATGTGATGATGAGCGCAAGCGCAGCCACCATGTTGAAATAGTAGTAATTCAAAAGTTTCGTACTGTTTTGATCGACAATGGCTGGAAAGCAATATTATCTCTACAGAAAAATTAATCATTGGAAAAAATCGTTGATGGTGATTAACTTTTTCATAACTCTGTAGAAGCGCATAGTTGTGAGAAGTTGAAAAGGTGGTTGAAGTGTCTTAGACGTTTGATACAAACGAAAAAAGTGGACTGATTGAGAGGTTAGGTGTATATCAATACTTCTTAACTGTGTACAAAATTAATGAAAACAAATAATAATTATAACTCTACTCTAATTAATTATGCCAACCAACTATTAGTACTTGCAAAAACACTTTAACTAACATGAAAGTTAATCACGAGTATAATTAATAAAATATATTAGGTATTTAATATTTTGAGGATCAACATGACATTTTTACTTTCCTATCTGTATACAGATATAAGGAAAGTATAGGAATCATGATTTTTTTCGACCTCGAGTTTTCGACGGATTTTTACGTTTTGAGGTCCCCTGAATCCGTTTTGACTATTTTCGCGATGATGATGTGTGTGTGTGTGTGTGTGTGTGTGTGTGTACGTGCGTGCGTGTGTGTGTGCGTGCGTGTGTACGTGCGTGTGTGTGTGTCTGTATAACGCATAACTCATGAACCGATACATAGAAAAACACCAAATTTTAAACTTAAGCTTTGTTTCAACGTCCAATGAGCTGATTAGATTTTGGGCAGAGTCGGAACATCTGGGGGGTACTTTATAGGTGGTCATTTTTATATTTTATGGAATATATCTGTTATTTACGTTTGGAGAAGAAAATTCTTTAAATAAAAGTTACTTCTAATATAATTATCTATAATTTTTGTTTTATGCAAAATTTTCCTAAAATGGTCCGTATTCGAGAAATTTGACAAAATGTAAAAAAAAATAATTTTTTATAAAAATTGTTCAAATAAAAGTTGTTTGTAATATAATTCTCTATAATTTTTATTCTATACATAATTTCTCTAAAATGGACCGTATTCGAGATATTTGAGAAAATGTGTTAATTTCGAATTTTGAAGAAAACTCAAAAACGGATAAAGAAAAAAACATTAAATTTTAAACTTAAGGTTTATTTCGGCCTGATCTGAAATGATTAGATTTTGGAAAAAGTCGGAACATCTGGGGGGGTACTTTATGGGAGGCCGTTTTTATATTTTATGGAATATATCTGTTATTAATGTTTGGAGAAAAAAATTATTCAAATAAAAGTTACTTCTAATATTATTATCTATAATTTTTGTTTTATGTAAAAATTTCTTGAAATGGTCCGTATTCGAGAAATTTGACAAAATGTGCAAAATTCTGATTTTTATGAAAGTTTTTGAAATAAAAGTTATTTGCGATATCGATCTCTATAATTTTTGTTTATACATGATTTTTCTAAAATGGACCGTAATGAAAAAATTGTAGGAAATTTAAATTTTTCAGTATTTTCGTTTTCCATGAATATCTATAGAAAAATGTTTCGAGGTAGATGTATGTGGACAATGTATATATTTAGTTTATCCTCTAAACATTTATAGAGAAGCTGCAATAGGTTGTACAAAATAACCGGAAAAGCCTATAATAACTAGATAGGAAAGTCATGTGTTGGACACATCAGATTTTTAATCATATTACTGTGTATACCGAAGTAGAATTTAATATTAAAAAAATATTGTTTAATACCAGATAATAATTTTCTTCTGTTGGACCACTTTCTCCATGAAAATGTAATTAACAAATATAAGTATATTCAGTAACATCATCAATCCATCGAAAACCGTTGTCACTTCGGTCTTCGACCACATTTTTTCGCATCTAATGCACATTTGCTTGGCAAATTGATAAATTTTAACACGATATTGCAGCCAAGGCTTTGGAATATTTATAAATAATATGTATTGCCTTTGAATGATTTATACCGTATGTCAATTTTACATACTCCATAACAACACCGTTTCGTTGTTCCTTTGCGTACAGATAACATAATTATAATTGATTGCAAAAATATATTTTTCAATTAAGACACTAAAATTATTATTATTACTTTGCTTTTTCTTTTTTTTTTAAATGAATATACTTAAATTAATATTTATCGATTATAATTTTTTTCACGTGGGCATTTTAACATGCTTGTTTACAAAAACAGTACGAAAAGGATGGCTGATACTGTCACATGCGCACAAAAAAAAATTATGATGAAAAGGTCTATATTACGGAGTTTTATTAATAAAACTCTACCTACACACTTTAAATACTTTCGATTCATTTCTTATATTAAAAAATTATTCAAACAAACTCGTATGAATATTTATAGTTCAATCAAATAGTCCTTTAAATGAAAATACAGGAATTTTTGTAAGTCACTTTCGAGTATTTGAAAACGATATGTGTAAAAATTTTGTTATTTCAGGCCCCGGCAAATGGCGAAAAAAAAAAAAGGAATATAAAATGATTTTTTTTTAAAAACGGTAGGTGCTAAAAAAAGAATAAAAATTGTAGCATAAAGTTTTATAACTATATTTAGCATTTTTTGCTATTATTAAAACTAACAGAGTTAGGATGGTTATAAGCTAAGAGAAGATATATATGACTTTAAAAAAGTAAAAATCATAGCGAGCTGAAAATTTAATTATTTTTTTACTTTCCTATCTGTATACAGATATAAAGAAAGTATAGGAATCATGATTTTTTTCGACCTCGAGTTTTCGACGGATGTTTACGTTTTGAGGTCCCCTGAATCCGTTTTGACTATTTTCGCGATGATCGCGATGATGTGTGTGTGTGTGTGTGTGTGTGTGTGTGTGTGTGTGTGTGTGTGTGTGTGTGTGTGTGTGTGTGGGTGCGTGCGTGCGTGCGTGTGTGTGTGTTGTGTGTGTTGTGTGTGTGTGTGTGTTTGTGTGTGTGTGTTTGTGTGTGTGTGTTTGTGTGTGTGTGTTTGTGTGTGTGTGTGTGTGTGTGTGTGTGTGTGTGTGTGTGTGTGTGTGTGTGTATGTCGCATAACTCATGAACCGATACACAGAAAAACACCAAATTTTAAACTCAAGCTTTATTCCAGCGTCTAATGAACTGATTAGATTTTGGGCAGAGTCGGAACATCTGGGGGGGTACTTTATAGGTAGTCATTTTTATATTTTATGGAATAAATCTGTTATTTACGTTTGGAGAAGAAAATTCTTTAAATAAAAGTCACTTCTTATATAATTATCTATAATTTTTGTTTTATGTCAAAATTTCCTGAAATGGTCCGTATTCGAGAAATTTGACAAAATGTGCAAAATTCTGATTTTTATGAAAATTGTTTAACTAAAAGTTGTTTGCGATATCGATCACTATAATTTTTGTTCTTTATATGATTTTTCTAAAATTTTTTATTTTTATTTGTTTTTCTTTTTTGTTAGTTTTTATTTATTTGTATTTATTATTTATTTTTATATATTATTTATTTTTATATATTATTTATTTCAATTTTTTTAACTATTTTTAATTATTTTTATGTTTTTCTTTTTTATTTTATTTTTTATTTGTATTTATTATTTATTTTTTAAAATTATTTTTATCTTTATATTATTTTTATATTTTTTGATTTTTACTTTCCTATCTGTATTCAGAAAGTATAGGAATCATGATTTTTTTCGACCTCCAGTTTTCGACGGATTTTTACGTTTTGGGGTCCCCTGAATCCGTTTTGACTATTTTCGGGATGATGTCTGTGTATTGTATGTCTGTATCCACCATAACTCATGAACCGATACTAAGAAAAACACCAAATTTTAAACTTGTTTTATTCCGGCGTCCAATGAACTGATTAGATTTTGGGAAGAGTCGGAACATCTGGGGTGGTACTTTATAGGTGGTCATTTTAATATTTTATGGAATATATCTGTTATTTACGTTTTGAGAAGAAAATTGTTCAAATAAAAGTTACTTACAATATTATCAATATTTTTTGTTGTATACAAAATTTTCCTAAAATGGTCCGTATTCGAGAAATTTGACAAAATGTAAAAAAATATTTTTTTATAAAAATTGTTTAAATAAAAGTTGTTTGTAATATAATTCTCTATAATTTTTATTTTATACATATTTTCTCTAAAATGAACCGTATTGGAGATATTTGAGAAAATGTGTAGATTTCGAATTTTGAAGAAAACTCAAAAACGGATAAAGAAAAAACATTAAATTTTAAACTTAAGGTTTATTTCGGTCTGACGTGAAATGATTAGATTTTGGACAAAGTCTGAACATCTAGGGGGGTACTTTATAGGAGGCCGTTTTTATATTTTATGGAATATATCTGTTATTTATGTTTGGAGAAGAAAATTGTTCAAATAAAAGTTACTTCTAATATTATTATCTATAATTTTTGTTTTATGTCAAAATTTCCTGAAATGGTCCGTATTCGAGAAATTTGACAAAATGTGCAAAATTCTGATTTTTATGAAAATTGTTGAACTAAAAGTTGTTTGCGATATCGATCTCTATAATTTTTGTTTATACATGATTTTTCTAAAATGGACCGTAATGGAAAAGTGCTAAATTTAAATTTTTCAGTATTTTCGTTTTCAATGAATATCTATAGAAAAATGTTTCGAGTGGAAAATGTATATATTTAGTTTATCCTCTCAACATTTATAGAGGTGCTGCAATAGGTTGTACAACATAATCGGAAAAAGCTTTTTTAGTTTCTTTTTATTTTTTACTCAGAAAAATATAAACTTTTTTTTCAGAAAAATTTTATTTATTTTTTAATTTATAAATTTTCATTATATTATACGACTTTATATGGTAAAATAAATTATTATGTCTTGCCTAACATAAAAAATATGAGAAGTGAACTAATAAAAACGACATCGCGACGATTTAGTCCCCACATGAAGTTCCATTAAATAAATAAAAATAATTTAAAAAATCTGATGTGACTTTACTATCTAGTTATTTATAGGCTTTTTCCGGTTATTTTGTACAACCCATTGTAGCACCACTATAAATGTTTAGAGGATAAACTAAATACATACATTTTCCACATACATCTACCTTGAAACATTTTTCTATAGATATTCATTGAAAACGAAAATACTGAAAAATTTAAATTTATCACTTTTCCTCCATTTTTTCCATTACGGTCCATTTTAGAAAAATCATGTAAAAACAAATATTATAGAGACTGATATAGCAAACAACTTTTAGTTAAACAATTTTCTTAAAAATCAGAATTTTGAACATTTTATCAAATTTCTCGAATACGGACCATTTCAGGAAAATTTGACATAAAGCAAAAATTATAGATAATAATATTAGAAGTAACTTTTATTTGAACAATTTTCTTCTCCAAATATAAATAACACATATATTCCATAAAATATAAAAACGGCCTCCCATAAAGTACCCCCCCAGATGTTCCGACTTGTCCAAAATCTAATTATTTCACGTCAGGCAGAAATAAAAATTAATTAATTAAAAATTTAATGTTTTTCCTTTATCCGTTTTTGAGTTTTCTTCAAAATTCGAAATTTACACATTTTCTTAAATATCTCGAATACGGTACATTAAAAAAAAAATTATGTATAGAATAAAAATTATAGAGAATTATATTACGAACAACTTTTATTTGAACAATTTCTCGAATAGGACCATTTTAGGAAAATTTTGTATACAACAAAAAATATTGATAATAATATTGTAACTTTTATTTGAAGAATTTTCTTCTCCAAACGTAAATAACAGATATATTCCATAAAATATTAAAATGACCACCTATAAAGACCACCCCAGATGTTCCGACTCTTCCCAAAATCTAGTCAGTTCATTAGTATCGGTTCATGAGTTATGGTGGATACAGACATACACAGACATCATCGCGAAAATAGTCAAAACGGATTCAGGGGACTCCAAAACGTAAAAATCCGTCGAAAACTGGAGGTCGAAAAAAATCATGATTCCTATACTTTCCTTATCTGTATACAGTTAGGAAAATAAAAATCAAAAAATATAAAAATAATACAAAGATAAAAATAATTTAAAAAAAATAAATAATAAATACAAATAAAAAAAAAATAAAAAAAGAAAAACAAATAAAAATAATTAAAAATAGTTAAAAAATTGAAATAAATAATAATATATAAAAATAAATAATAAATACAAATAAATAAAAACTAACAAAAAAGAAAAACAAATAAAAATAATAAAAAATGGTTAAAAAAATTAAATAAATAAAAACAGGTAAATTAGTAAATATAAAAATAAATAAATAAATAAAATTAAAAATAGGAAAAAATAAATTAAAATAAAAAAAATAAGTATATATAAATAATTAATAAAAAAAATAAAATATATTTCAACAGTTACCTTTAAAATAAACTCGAATCTGTCAAAATAATCATATTATTTTAAGTTCAGTTGCTAAAAAGTAACTAGATAATATATTTAAAAAATATATTAAATTAATACAAAAATAGTAATTTCAATTTATTATAAGTTAACCTGTTTTATTTTTAATTTTAAAGTTTCTCAAAATATTTTTAAAAAATTGGAAATCAAGTGCCTATTCTTATCAGATGAAGTGGTGTTTTTTTTTATTTTTTTTTTTTAATTTTTATTAGTTTTTTATTTTCATTTTATTTACTTTTAATTTTTATTTTTTATTTTTTTTTAATTTATTTTTTGTGTATTATTTTATTTTTATTTATTTTTTTTGTGTCATCGGCTTCAACTGCTATGGTTATTTCGCCTCGTGTTCTAAGTAGGCTTTATTACTGTTTCCAGTGCCACTTTAGGAACGGCACTGTTAACTAGAACACAACAGTGAATGGTCGAGTGGGGAATCCTACCAAGGCATCAGCATTAATTATAAATAATTAAATTAAATAACAAAATTCCGGCCAACGGTGAGATTCGAACCTGGGACCCTTGGATCCGCAGGCAGAGACTTTAGCACTGAGCCACCCACTCCCCGTTTATTTATTATTATTTATTTTTTTATATTCGTTTTATATATTTTATTTCATTTAATTTTTATTTATTTTTATTAATTTTTATTTACTTTTATTAATTTTTAAGGTTTTTTTTATATATTTACTTATTTTTACTTGTTTTATTTATTTCTTATTTTTCTTTTTTGTATATTTGTTTATTTTTATTAAACTTTAATTATTTTTATTAAATTTTAATTATTTTTATTTATTTATAATTAATTTTTGTTTATTTTTATTTACTTTTATTCATTTTTAATTAATTTTATTTCTTTATATATATATATTTTTATTAGTTTTATTTATTTTTATATATTTAAGTACTTAGTTTTATTTATTTTTACTTATTTTTTTATTTTTCTTTTTTGTATATTATTTTTTATTAATTTTATTTATTTATATTTACCCATTTTTATTTGTTTTATTTTTTTTTTACTGATTTTTATTTTTACCTTATTTTTATTTATTAATTGGAACTGCAAGTAGGGACTAAACTCAAAAGCGGCTCCAGAAAAGAATGAAAAAGAGACAGGATGTTACAGGAAAATACATTTTATTTCCAATTTAGTGCGTATTTTAACAGGAATTAAAGAATATAGTCGGTGAAAACTTTCTATTACATTGCCTTCATAAATTCCAAAAAGTACATTTTATCTGATAATAAGTACTTAATATAAATTTATTTTTTTACACGATATTTTTTTTCTATTGACTTACCTACAGTCATGGTGAACTCGTTCCCCTGCGATTTTGAAGTATTCCCCTGATAGCTGATATGAAGATCGTCCAAACCGAAGTTACGTTGCAAACAGGTGAGTAGAATATCGTACGGCGACGGTTCGGTCGTTTTCGCGCAAAATTCGGCTACCCTCGGATCTTCCACGCGAATTTCGTCGAAGAACGACAGATCTTGGTCTTTGTCTTTCTTTGTCGAATCGCCTAAAATATTTCGTTAGTATTTTGTATGTAAATTCCTAAATTATCCCTACGAAATTATTAAATTATCCCTGAATCCTACCATGTGAAAAAACTAATGAAAATTAAAAATATGAACGTGTACCGAGCTTGAATCGAACCAGTCGTACCTAAATTAGTACCCTAGTACTTTCAAACTCAGTTATCAGAGCACAAATTTAAATAGCTAAATATTAAGCCTCACGCGTATCCTGTTAACTTATTGTTATAATAATTGAAGCACCCCTGGGATTCTAAGGACCAGTTTACATAAAGAGGATATACTATAGATAGTTAAGTATAAATATTTCAGTTAATTACAGTGAAAGTGTAATAATTGGCGCACAACGTGGGGCAAAATTATCGATTCTTACCTGTTTGAACGTCTGGTGCTATTTTCGATTTCATTTCGGGAATTAAAATTTCTAGAGTGGCTCTGGCCGCTTCCGATTTCGCTTGCTTTTTACTGGTACCGTACCCGACGCCGTAGCGCATTTCCTTAATCATAACAGTAGCTGCATAAGGGGTAGCTGCGTTTTCTAATTCCATAAACTGGTAAGTCGGTTGTTTCTTCAAGGCGTGTTGAACGTATTCGTGTAAAATGCACACGTACGATTTGCCGTTCGGGTTCATTATCCATTCCTTTTTCGACGAGTTGGTATTGCTTTCCGCGTTTTCGTTCCTGATGATGATAATAACAATAATGTTCTTTAGGAAAATAATATTTAAAGGCGAAATAAAACAAAAATTGGTTACAGTAACTTTACTGAAAAAAATAGTCTTTTTTTAATCAATTTACTGTGACCAATACTTGAGAATTTTTTCATACATTATGTTCGATCTATCAAACCGAAGATAATTGGTTCTATTTTTAAGACGGATACATTTTTTCTTACCTACACCGATTATTAAGAAATGTAGAATTTAAAAATAAAATTAGAGTGAAATGGAATCGATTTTGATTTGTACTCTCTCAGCAATCCCAATGGCGTACGCCACACGCTCAATATGGATCGAGATATTAGATCGCGATATTCATTGACAGTATAGAGCGGTGATTCCCAACCGATGCTCCGTAAGAGCATCGGGAATGGTCCAGTAAAGGAACCCTCTGTAAAATATTGGGTCGATCAATAGTATGGCTAAATTTTTAAGGAGACGTCGGATACGTTGTGTAATAGTAATGCATCATTTGCGTTTTACATTATAAAAAATTGCTAACAGTGAAAAATAAAAAAAAAATAAGGACATACTGTATACTAGATTGCGACGTGTTCTTCAAGCACGTCTTAACAACAATATCTGAATACACTTTGTTGTTAACGACGTGCTCGAAGAGCACGTCGCAATCTATTACACAATCTATAAGTTGTTTTTTCAAAAAAACAATTATTCTTGATAAAAAGTTTTTTGGGATACACTGTACAATATATTGCGACACGTTTTTCAAGCACCTCCTTAACAACAATATCTGTGTTCACTTTGTTGTTAACGACGTGCTCTTCCCTGTATATTTTAATTTTCCTTAGTTACTGTAATTGTGTAAAATTCAGTGACGTAGCGATTATTTTTTCAAGGAGTTTAATTTTCCAGCTAAAATATAAATTTGTATGATTATTTTAACGAAACACCCAATATAATTTTATTTACATTTACTGTATTTGGGTAGAATTCAGTGACGTACCGATTATTTTTCAAGAGGTTTATTTTTCCATCTAAAATATACATTCGTATTTTATTGGAACACCTTGTATATTTTAATTTTCCCTACAGTTACTAGAATAAAATTCAGTGACGTACCTATTATTTTTTCATGGGGTTTAATTTTTCAGCTAAAATATACATTTGTATGAATGTTTTATGAAACACCCAGTATATTATAATTTTCCTTACAGTGACGTACCGATTATTTTTTAAGGGGTTTAATTTTCCAGCCAAAATATACATTTGTGTGAATGTTTTAACGAAACACCCAGTATATTATAATTTTCTTTAGTTACTGTATTTAGGTAGAATTCAGTAACGTACCGATTATTTTTCCAAGAGGTTTAATTTTCCAGCTAAAATATAGATTTGTTACTGTATTTGGGTAGAATTCAGTGACGTATCGATTATTTTTTCAAGGGGTTTAATTTTTCATCTAAATATACATGTTTTTATTTGGACACCCTGTATATTTTAAGTTTTCTTATAGTTACTATACTTGCGTAAAATTCAGTGAAGTACCGATTATTTTTTTAAAGGGGTTTAATTTTCCAACTAATATACAGATTTGTATGAATGTTTTAAAGAAACACCCAGTATATTATAATTTCCTTTAGTTACTGTAATTAGGTAGAATTCAGTGACGTACCGATTATTTTTTCAAGAGGTTTCATTTTCCTATAAAAATATAGATTTGTATGAATGTTTTAACGAAACACCCAGTATATTATAATTTTCTTCATAGGTACTATATTTGGGTAGAATTCAGTGACGTATGGATTATTTTTTCAAGGGGTTTAGTTTTTCATCTAAATAAACAACTGTTTTATTGGGACACCCTGTATATTTTAATTTTCCTTAGTTCCTTTACTTACGTAAAATTCAGTGACGTACCGATTATTTTTTCAAAGGGGTTTAATTTTCCACCTAAAATATACAATCGTAAGTTTTTATTGGAATATCCTGTATATCTTAATTTTCTTTACAGTTACTATACTTGCGTAAAATTCAGTGACGTACGGATTATTTTTCCAAAGGGGTTTAATTTTCCATATAAAATAGACATTTGTATATTTTTATTGGAACACCCTGTATATTTTAATTTTCCTTACAGTTACTGTACTTGCGTAAAATTCAGTGACGTACCAATTATTTTTTAAGGGGTTTAATTTTCCACCTAAAATATACATTCGTATGTTTTTATTGGAACACCCTGTATATTTTAATTTTCCTTACAATTACTATACTTGCGAAAAATTCAGTGACGTACCAATAACATTTTCAAAGGGGTTTAATTTTCCACCTTAAATATACATTCGTATGTTTTTATTAGAACACCATGTATATTTTATTTTTTTACAGTTACTATACTTGCGTAAAATTCAGTGACGTACCAATTATTTTTCCAAAGGGGTTTAATTTTCCATATAAAACATATATTCGTATACTTTTATTAGAACACCCTGTATATTTTAATTTTCCTTACAGTTACTGTACTTGCGTAAAATTCAGTGACGTACCAATAACATTTTCAAAGAGGTTTAATTTTCCACCAAATATACATTCGTATGTTTTTATTGGAATAACTTGTATATTTTAATTTTCCTTACAGTTACTATACTTGCGAAAAATTCAGTAACGTACCAATATCTTTTTCAAAGAGGTTTAATATACATTCGTATGTTTTTTATTGGAATACCCTGTATATTTTAATTTTCCTTACAGTTACTGTACTTGCGAAAAATTCAGTGACGTACCAATAATTTTTTCAAAGGGGTGTAATTTTCCATATAAAATATACATTCGTATGTTTTTATTGGAACACCCTGTATATTTTAATTTTCCTTACAGTTACCGTACTTGCGTAAAATTCAGTGACGTACCAATTATTTTTTCAAGGCGGTTTAATTTTCCAGCTAAAATATATATTTGTATGAATGTTTTAACGAAACACCTAGTATATTAAAATTTACTTTAGTTGCTGTATTTGGGTAAAATTCAGTGACGTATCGATTATTTTTTTCAAAGGGGTTCAATTTTTCAATAATATACTAAAATATTGTAGAATTTTTATTACTTTTTTATCTGATAAACATTAAATCTACCGCGTGCTATTTTTTGTGCAAAAAACTAACGCCCTGTAGGTACGCCCTTTGGAATTACTGGATCAACTCTAATAAGTCAAAAAATTATTTATCAAAAAAAAAATAATAATTTGCATTAAATTTATTATCACCCTGTATAGTGATATTATTGATTACTCGCGATGTCTTAATTTCTAGAAAATCTAATATCACGATCCATATATTGCTATAAACAGCGGCGTAGCGTATAGGGAGCCAGGGTAGGCAACGTTTCCCCCCCCCCCCCCCGCCCTTTACAGTTAGAGCAGCTTTGGCGGCCCTCACAGATGTTTGGACGTCCTAGCCCCTCCACTCTTTTTGCCCACACTACGCCACTGGCGATTAATATTGAGCGTGTAGTATTCGCCGTGAACGTTCAGAAATAAAAATAAAGAAAATAAAACTCAAAACCATGTGTCACAATAATAAGGGCGGACTTTTCTCTCCCGAAAACAATTACTACTTTGGCTAATACCTTATCAGGCATTGAATTGTATCAAAAGAACCACAGATGTAATTTTTTTAATAAAATTTTACGTTTGTATTGGTTATTTATTTAAATACGACGTTTAAAACATATTTAAAAACATAATCCTTTAGGTATGAGCCAAAAGGATGGATGAAACGTAACAATTGGATAGTGTAAAGAGGACTAAATGAATTTAGGAATTTGGAAAAAACTACCATTAAGAGGAGAAAATTTGAAGCTGCGGGTCTTTTAAGGCCTTTGTAGATTTACCTGATGGGGAAGGTTATGAGTTTGGTACCATCAGGTAACGTAGGCCGTTGCAATTGCTTCGTATGCTTCAACTTTTTGGTAAACTTCCTTCTCTCCGACCACGATTTGAACCTCAACACTTTCATCGTCTGAAACTTGAACAATTTTTCGCAATATTCCCTAATCTGTTCCGATGAAAGGTTCTGCATTTCGATATTCTCTTGCACCGTCTCGATTTTGGCATTGGGGAAATTTTGATCGCAATTCGTTCTCTCTACTGTGACGGTTTGTTGTTGTTCTTCTTCCCTTTCTAGAGCTCTTCGGTAATTCAGACACGGTATGGCGTTGACCGGAATGTGGTGTTTCCTGGCCGAACCGGGACCTAGAAAATAAGGTCTAGAAAGAGAACATACCCTAGAGATTTTGTGTAAATAGACGGGCATTCCGCTGTTATGAGTCACTTGGATCCAGCCTTCTGGTAGGACGTCGAAATGGTTCTGACCTAAAACAGAAGAATGTATGGGGACATAGTAAAGTAAGGGATACATTTTAAAGTATTTTAAGAACACAAGATTATACTGTATGTATGGAAAAAGAGCTGATATAAACATCAAACATATTCATCGTAATTTAGAGATATAAGCAAATATTTTGTAAATTTATGGCCTTCAAGAATTATTCAAGAGTTATTTAAGAATATTGCTGTTAGTAACACGACCACCAAAGCTGGAAAAATTAAAAGATCAGGTAAAAAATTGTTGCAATTCAACAAGAAATACTAAATAATGATGCGTACAATTTGGAGGAACGGTTGGTGATTGTATAGCAGTAAAATGGACGACATTGAACATTTGCATTAACAACTGTTGGACAAAAGAAATACCGTTATTTAAGCTATCGAATTTCATCCACATCCTGTTCACTTCATTTCTTAAAAATACATAAGCTGAAATACTTTATGATAACCTTATATAATTTTTTATGTTTAATTAATAATTTTGCCACTAGTTCCAAACTAATAGATTTATAAACTTTAAAATTTCAGAAAATATTTATAAAAAGTGTAGAAACATAATTTTGAAAACAATATTTTTAAATTTTAAAAGGAGTTAAAGTTAGAGAGTATCAAAGTTGAATTCTTATTTGTTATAAATTTGACATTGGAGCCTTTATTTCGTCACTATTTCCAAATTAATAGATTTATAAACTTCAAAATTTTAGAAAATATTTATAAAAAGTGTAGAAACATAATTTTGCAAACAACATATCCAAATTTTAAAAGGTGTTAAAGTTAGAGAGTACCAAAGTTGAATTCTTATTTGTTATAAATTTGACATTGGAGCCTTTATTTTGCCACTATTTCCAAATTAATAGATTTATAAACTTCAAAACTTCAGACAATATTTATAAATAGTGTAGAAACATAATTTTGCAAACAACATTTTCAAATTTTAACAGGTGTTAAAGTTAGAGAGTATCAAAGTTGAATTCTTATTTGTTATACATTTGACATTGGAGCCTTTATTTCGTCACTATTTCCAAATTAATAGATTTATAAACTACAAAATTTCAGAAAATATTTATAAATAGTGTAGAAACATAATTTTGCAAACAACATATCCAAATTTTAAAACATATTAAAGTTAGAGAGTATCAAAGTTGAATTCTTATTTGTTATAAATTTGACATTGGAGCCTTTATTTTGCCACTATTTCCAAACTAATAGATTTATAAACTTCAAAACTTCAGAAAATATTTATAAATAGTGTAGAAACATAATTTTGCAAACAACATTTTCAAATTTTAAAAGGTGTTAAAGTTAGAGAGTATCAAAGTTGAATTCTTATTTGTTATAAATTTGACATTGGAGCCTTTATTTTGCCACTATTTCCAAACTAATAGATTTATAAACTTCAAAATTTCAGAAAATATTTATAAATAGTGTAGAAACATAATTTTGCAAACAACATATCCAAATTTTAAAAGGTGTTAAAGTTAGAGAGTATCAAAGTTGAATTCTTATTTGTTATAAATTTGACATTGGAGCCTTTATTTTGCCACTATTTCCAAACTAATAGATTTATAATCTTCAAAATTTCAGAAAATATTTATAAATAGTGTAGAAACATAATTTTGCAAACAACATATCCAAATTTTAAAAGGTGTTAAAGTTAGAGAGTATCAAAGTTTAATTTTTATTTGTTATAAATTTGATATTGGAGCCTTTATTTTGCCACTATTTCCAAACTAATAGATTTATAAACTTCAAAATTTCAGAAAATATTTATAAATAGTGTAGAAACATAATTTTGCAAACAACATATCCAAATTTTAAAACATATTAAAGTTAGAGAGTATCAAAGTTGAATTCTTATTTGTTATAAATTTGACATTGGAGCCTTTATTTTGCCACTATTTCCAAACTAATAGATTTATAAACTTCAAAACTTCAGAAAATATTTATAAATAGTGTAGAAACATAATTTTGCAAACAACATTTTCAAATTTTAAAAGGTGTTAAAGTTAGAGAGTATCAAAGTTGAATTCTTATTTGTTATAAATTTGACATTGGAGCCTTTATTTTGCCACTATTTCCAAACTAATAGATTTATAAACTTCAAAATTTCAGAAAATATTTATAAATAGTGTAGAAACATAATTTTGCAAACAACATATCCAAATTTTAAAAGGTGTTAAAGTTAGAGAGTATCAAAGTTGAATTCTTATTTGTTATAAATTTGACATTGGAGCCTTTATTTTGCCACTATTTCCAAACTAATAGATTTATAAACTTCAAAATTTCAGAAAATATTTATAAATAGTGTAGAAACTGTAACCTACCGCACCCAGGTACCTTAATAATTTATTAATTCCAATTATTAAATACAATATTATATTCTTATTAAATATCAAAATGCTACATTTAACGAAAAATCTCCCAGATAATTAAATCATATTTACGACACCTAATAAATAATAGCTATAACCACGTCCGTAAAAGATGCACGTGGCCGAATTCTCAGGCAAAGAAAACACCATAAGCCGTATTTCTGTTTACGAAGTAATTATCGTTGAAATACTTATCTCGCTTATTTGTAGTTTCGATGTTCAGACCGATATCGACAATATTTCGATACATAAAACTTTCAAGGCAAGTAATAAATAACCCACCCCCTTTTGCACCTACATTCGTATTTTCTATGAGAAGCAAAACGATAGAGACGTCACAGAAACGATTAAACTGCGTATAAAAAGCGATACCCAAATGAGCTCAGGGTCATTCAATTTTTATCATTTGATGTGCAAGCATACATTTTATTATCTGTACCCAGTTATATAATCTGTACCTTTCCTAAACGCTCCTCCTAAACGACGTCTATCCTACAATACCTCCTATCCCCGACGGTGTCAACGTCTCGACGCCCAACTTCCTGCCATCCTACTCCCTACGTCTCGAACGCTGTCACATTCCTCACCATCTAAGTATTTCCTACCGTACACTCATTTCGACGCTCAATGTCCCACGCCTTATTTCCGACGCTTTGCCGTCCATAATTATTTCCTTCATAATATCACGTCCCGCACCACCTACTTAATTCTACCGTATATCTGTCCCAATACAGTACCGTATTAAATACCTTCCCTTCCATCACGACGCTAGACGTCTCGACGATGGACGCCTCGACGCCCAACCCTGCGACGTACCTACATCGACGCCTTCCACGACGCTAGATGAAATTAGTACATAATTTAATGTCTGTATTTTCAATGGTGAGTCAAAAGATTTATTTAACCTTCTTTGAGATACCACCCCGGTTTCGTTTAAGGGCGGCTTGACATTTGCTACAAAATATCAATTTAATCAATAAACCACATGGCCTTTAGGTCATACACCCCGAAAGATAGGATAACATCTGTTTTACGATGGGTGAAATTTGGAGTATTTTAATAGAAATAATAAAAATCAATATTAAGAAATATACAGGGTTATATTAAGTTATTTCAATAGAAATTATAATAATCAATATTAAAATACATACAGGGTTGTATTAAGTCATATCAATAGAAATTATAAAGATCAATATTTTGGAAATATACAGGGTTGTGCTATCTTGGATAAATTGTACAAACCAAGATGGTAAAATTTAATAGTAAGTTAACCAACTGGCGAATACGCTGTTCGTTAACTCAAGGGGGGACACCTATACGCTAAGCAACCCGTTCTACAAGGTTTGAAACAAAGTATATGTGAAATCAACATAGTAAGGTAATCAACTGGCGAATTGGCGCTGTTTGTTACTTCCGTTGGTCATCACCTCTATACTCATCGTAATATTTACCTAAGAGGGTGCAACCTGTATATATCTACAATAGAATCAAATCAACATCAACTCAATAGTTAATCAACTGGCGAATTGGCGCTGTTTGTTAACTCGTTGGTCATCAACCTAAATAAGAATATAAACAACAACACTATAGTTAATCAACTGGCGAATTGACGCTGTTCGTTAACTCTGTTGGTCATCAACCTAAATAGAATATGTATTAATAGCAAATGAATATGGTCTGCGTTTAAACGGGACTCAAGTGAGATCTCAGTAAAAAGTAACAATTGTAATATACTTTGCTAATTATTGCAACACATTTAAAGTATGAAAAATAAATAAGAGTTTAAATATGAATTTGTATGTTTTATTTATCAATTTGCACCAAACTTTGCATCGAATTCTGGTTTACCTTAATTAACATTATCACAACGTGGGTACATAAAATATCAATTAATTAACTAGACGATCACTTCTACTACTAGAGGAAAAAGGCCAAATTACAGTAAGTAAGAATTTAAAGTAAAACTTGTGAGGTAAAAAAATAACATTTCAAAGAGAGTAAAGTAAAATACAAGAAGAACAAATCAAAAGAAGAGGGGGCCTGGGGCGTGGCCGTCACAAAACATAATTTTGCAAACAACATATCCAAATTTTAAAAGGTGTTAAAGTTAGAGAGTATCAAAGTTGAATTCTTATTTGTTATAAATTTGACATTGGAGCCTTTATTTTGCCACTATTTCCAAACTAATAGATTTATAAACTTCAAAATTTCAGAAAATATTTATAAATAGTGTAGAAACATAATTTTGCAAACAACATATCCAAATTTTAAAAGGTGTTAAAGTTAGAGAGTATCTAAGTTGAATTCTTATTTGCTATAAATTTGACATTGGAACCTTTATTTTGCCACTATTTCCAAACTAATAGATTTATAAACTTCAAAATTTCAGAAAATATTTATAAATAGTGTAGAAACATAATTTTGCAAACAACATATCCAAATTTTAAAAGGTGTTAAAGTTAGAGAGTATCAAAGTTGAATTCTTATTTGTTATAAATTTGACATTGGAGCCTTTATTTTGCCACTATTTCCAAACTAATAGATTTATAATCTTCAAAATTTCAGAAAATATTTATAAAAAGTGTAAAAACATAATTTTGCAAACAACATATT